CAGTGTTTATTATGGAGGACAATGGGGAGATATCTGCAGGACAGTTTCAGCAGTACGAATGTTCCACTTCTCTCAGTAAATGAATAGTCTTATTATTTTATTCTAAAACGGAGCAACTGTTAAAATTCCCTCAGGGGATGATAAAACATTTCTGACAAGATTCAAGTGTTTGCACTTCATGCATTTCATTGGCTAGGCTGCTAAAATATCACACGATCATAATATCTTTAAAAACAAAAAGGTCCTTGTTTCACTCGGGGATGGCAAACTGTCATTTCCTCTAATTTCACAAACTCAAAAGCTGTCTCACAAAAGAGCGTGCGTTTTTTTTCCGTACCTCCCCATGATATCTGACAGTCGGTGCAAAGAAGGGAGTCTTCCTGGTTAACCACAAAGTAACAGAAACAGTCTTGTGACATTACATACAGACCCTTCACGGTGTTTGTGACTCTCTGCAGGTCTCTAGCTGTTGCTCGCTCCTCTCTCTCTGCAGGAAACAGAAGAAGATCTTTATCAGCACAGAAAGTGGAACCGTGGATTTACTAAATAAAGTTCAGTGCTTTAATAGTCTTATGTTCATCTGAGTTATCTCATTAATAAATGTATTTGTTGACTTTGAAACCGTAGCCTTTGATTCTTGGACATAGCAGTATATCAAACTGATATATAAACGAGGGTCTTACAGTCCACTACTCAGACAGAAAGCAGCAGGTTTTTAATAAGGGCCTCCAGCAGACAGACAGCTCTGAGGCCAATGAGATAGAAACATGACATCTATCAGTCACATCAGTAAATGAGACTCCATACATCCCCCATGTAACATCTGTAAAGTGTTATATCTATATTTATTTATTTCAGTCACTGTGAGTTTCATCATTTGGCTGTAAGGTCATTGATCCTTCTTCTTCTTCTTTAACTAAGATACGTGTTGAACGTTATTTAAGCCACTGGTTTACAGGGGGTGTCTGAGGACTTTCTCTCCTGAACCGTCTCCTCCTGTTGAACCTCTTATGGAGAACAGGCACCACATTAAACCAAGAAAAGAGAACGAGTTGGAAAGATGTTGAAACGTTGTTCAAGAGACAAACTTACTGAATCGCATGAGACACAAAAGAGAAACTAAAAACATATTTCATTAACGCTTTGTTATACATTGAAATGCCATAATGCCAAAAAGGACTTTACACATCAAGGGTGACCTTTTGTTGGTGGATAAATATAAAGTTGAATGTGTGCTTCGTGAAGGGAAGAGATTTCAGATTCATGTTGATTTGTCAGCCTCTATATGTGGAGAGTTTAAACTCAGCAGAAAGGACACACACTATCTCTGCCAGAAACAGGACCTGTCCTAACTTTTTGACAAAAGTATTATACCAGCTTGTCCTTTTTTTGTAAACCTCTTTTAAAATCAGGCAATCAGTCGGCTACACACAGACACGGGTCTATGTGATCCTAAGAAATGTACATAAAAATGGCATTTTTAATAGATGCTGAAATGAAACCCTGGTGGACAGATTGGAGTTTCTTTCCCTCCACTTCACATGAACAGAGAGAACAATGTTGACTGTGGAACAGAGGAAGTGTGAGTATTGGAATCGGACCAGAGTTTGAATAGTTTTACTCAAGCCTGATTTTAGCTTAAACAAACACGTTGTAAGAGTCATGTTACTGGAGACACGTCACACAGCAAGAATAAAAACTAAATTCTTGTACTGTGCACAATGCAGCACTATAGTGCAATGCAACAGGCTAAAAACTGTTGGGGAAGATTTTATTTTATTTAAATCAAAAAGTCCAAAAGAAAGTAGAACTTTCCATACTGTATATTCTCTAACACAAGTTCTTTTAAAGTTTAACTTTAAAAGCGCCAAAATGTTTTTTTCTGATACATTTTCTTAATGCCTGCCACTAAAACGGGAGGCCTGTCGCTTTGGATAAAAGCGTCTAACAAGTAACATGTAATGTAATGACATCACACTCCACATTCCCAAATGTTTTCTCAACATGCTAAGTTAAAGTTTCCCTTACACCCGGCGCTAATACTCTTCTCTGGGCTTGTCTCCCAGCCTTGCAGCTTTGTTATAAATGAGAGCACTGTCCCTGGTTAACATGGATCACTGTAAGAGTTTGGTCGTGCTATAAAGTCATTCATCCTCTGTTCTCTGTTTCTCTGGATCGACTTCACATTGTAAATAAAACAATGCTTCAATGTTATGTATGATAATACTAAAAGTGTTTCTTTAACTTTGGAAACACGAAACCGAGCTGCAACGGCCTAATGCATGATGGGAAAAAGTAAGAAACAGAATGGCACGTCTTAAAAAGATGAAGTGCTACCAAAAGGACTTCACACATCAAGGGTGTCCTACTGGTTACAACGCAACACTTGGGAAACATTCAACATGTTTTGGAAAAACCTTGTAAGTGTTCCTCGTGAAATGAAAGAGATTGCAGTCATGCAAGCGTAAAGAATGTTTAAACTTTGGACCAAATGTCCAATTCCTCCATGACACACAGCTTACAGGACACATTCAGTATATCGTCCGGAAACTAGGAACGGTCCTAACTTTGTGACCAAAGAATGATACCAGCTTATCCTTTTTTTGGTTAACCTCTTTTCCAAATCCCCCAGTTGACCCTGTTGCTTCTGCTGGATATCCTGTAAACATATTAAGTGTTATTTTTGCGAGAATAAAAGATGGTTAACCGGTTCGAGTAGAAAGTCTCTATGGAATACACAATGTAAAATATAAACACACCCTAGATTCTAGAAGACACTATAAAAGAAGAAAATACAACTACTAAAATCAAAACATGGTAATACAAACGTTGGACAAGTGTGCAAAGTAGTTGATATTTGCAATGTGTTCAAATGTGATTTTAATATGTGCAGATGCAGAAAAAGAAGACATAGTGGAGAAACGAAGAATAATCCTGCAGGCTTTTTATGCTCAAAATATGAACTGAAGACAAGAACAATTACAATTTAGATATTTATCTTTATTTTCTTCACTTTAATGGAGACATAAAAGCTTAAAAACATGGAAAGTGCAGTGAATATATTGCAAATGATAAGCCTCAAGCATGGAATAATATACAGAACACATTCAGTAACATTTGTTGTTTTAGCAGCAGCAACATAAATATAGACAACCAACATTATTTGGTACAATCACAACCTAAGAAAACAACAACTATATCAAGGAAGTGTTTTAAACATATAAATACTATAAACTTTGATAGTTGGCTTGCACAATATTCAGTATTTTTTTTAAATCTGTTTTGTTACTAAACAAAACAAAATACTTCAGAGACATGTTTATCTGAGACCTATAATACGTTGTTTGAAAAGAGTATAATAGGAGACCTTTAAAGGTGGGGTAGGTAAGTTTGAGAAACCGGCTCGAGATCGCTAGAATTTGAAAATACACAACCGGAGAAAATCTGCCACTTCCTTACAGAGCCCCTCCTCCAACACACACGAACGCGCACATGACCAATGAGGGCACGAGATAAGTTTGTGCACAGATTGAAGGCTGACAGGCAGGTAGGCCATCCAGTTATTTTAGCCGGGCCGGCTCAGATGATTGGTCGTGCTTTTTACAGTACTACGGCTTCCACAGATGACATATTTTTATGGATTTTTTGTCAAAGCACTTCAGATATTCATTGCTATCGGGATGTTAAGAGCATTCCATGGAATATAACAAAAAGTGTATCTCGAGCCGGTTTCTCAAACTTACCTACCCCACCTTTAAATAAATAAGCAATACTGCAATATAAAAATACTCAAACTGTGTCCTGCACTCAAAAGTGTACTTAAGTAAAAGTAAAATAGGAGTAGCATTCAAAATACTTAAGTACCAAAAGTACTAGTTATCCAACATGGCCATTTTGAGCACCAGATCTTTTTTTATTATGTTATCAAATGTATTAAAACGATTGGTGCATTAATGTGTTCATCACTTGTTGTACTTGGTAAAGATTTTGGTCATTTGAATTATTTTAAACACTACTGGGTAGCTTAACCTATAATAACATAACATAATGTCTGTTGATTTATATTTTATATTAATTAATTAAATCTGCAAAGTAACTTCATCTGTTAAATTAATGTAGTGGAAGTAAAAGTATAAAATAGCATAATGAGACAAATGTTAGTATGCAAAACATGTCACAGTGTCTAACTTCAATACAAAGTAAAAAAAAACTGAATAAATATTTGTCAGGACTGAAGCAACGTAATGGAGACAGAGAGAGCACATAGTAAGATTACAGAAAATGATAAATATTAAATAAAATTACAAATTAATAAACCTCACAGCTACTGTACAGTGTTATACACAATAAATATGTAGGCTAAGGCTGAACAATTAAACAAAACTGCAATATGGACTTGTCCAAATCACAGGAGGTGCAACATTTGTTAAATTTGTCAGAATACAGTTGAGATACCCAGCCTATAAATAACATTAGAAAGACTTTTGATTGGTACAGATTCTCTCAGAAATCATTTGATAATTTTAGTTTATCTGTCAACGGAAGTAAGAGAAGATTAACAGTATGATCGAAGTAAAGTGTCAGAGCGCTGCAGATCTAAAGAGTCAGTATTGTGCAGGAGTGTGCAAATGTCTTTAGATGAGCATTAATGTAACAGATAGTGTCAAACTGTTTCTGTTGGTTCACCTGCTGAACTGTTGCCTGTCCCTGAGTCTGAACCCTGTTCACTGGCTGCTTGTCGTCTGAAGTTAAGAAGCACACAGACACACAGAACAAGTAGAACAGAAACCAGTGCTAACGCTGAGTAGAGTCATTCCCCTTCTTCCTCTGTTGGGGGTCTCAGGTTTGTTCCAATGTGTCGCTGCTGGAAAAACACCAAACAACTCTGTGTCAAAGACATTTACCTGATAAAGAAAATTAAACAATTAATTTTAACATTTCTCAGGTTCTCGTACACCCTGAGAGTTTAACATTATTAAAGATGAATGGGGGTTACTCACCAGTGACGTTGAGCCAGCATCTCCTAGAGTTACTCCCATCAGGTCTGACGAGTATGTCACACCGATAAAACCCAGAGTCATTGGTCCTGAGTCTGGAGACATGAAGTGTGAGGCGTCCTTCTGTGAGGACGTCTTTGTCCCACTGGACTCGTCCTGCAAACTGTGGATCCTGAGACTCTGGGGATTCAACACCTTGATGGAGATGAAACAGGACTGAGTACCTGCCTTCAGTAAACAGGTAACAGTAGGTAGAAATGGATCTGAGGGAAGTGTCTCTTCTGGTGCTGAAGGTCCACTCCAGGGTGATGTTCTGGTTCTCCTCTGCCTGATAGGAAGTCTGAGTCACATTCACTACAAATGTTCCTGTGGAGGAGACACAGAGGGACTCTTTAAACTGCAGCTATGTTCCTGTGGAGGAGACACAGAGGGACTCTTTAAACTGCAGCTATGTTTCTGTGGAGGAGACACAGAGGGACTCTTTAAACTGCAGCTATGTTTCTATGGAGGAGACACAGAGGGACTCTTTAAACTGCAGCTATGTTCCTGTGGAGGAGACACAGAGGGACTCTTTAAACTGCAGCTATGTTCCTGTGGAGGAGACACAGAGGGACTCTTTAAACTGCAGCTATGTTTCTGTGGAGGAGACACAGAGGGACTCTTTAAACTGCAGCTATGTTTCTGTGGAGGGGACACAGAGGGACTCTTTAAACTGCAGCTATGTTCCTGTGGAGGAGACACAGAGGGACTCTTTAAACTGCAGCTATGTTTCTGTGGAGGAGACACAGAGGGACTCTTTAAACTGCAGCTATGTTTTCTATGGAGGAGACACAGAGGGACTCTTTAAACTGCAGCTATGTTCCTGTGGAGGAGACACAGAGGGACTCTTTAAACTGCAGCTATGTTCCTGTGGAGGAGACACAGAGGGACTCTTTAAACTGCAGCTATGTTTCTGTGGAGGAGACACAGAGGGACTCTTTAAACTGCAGCTATGTTTCTGTGGAGGGGACACAGAGGGACTCTTTAAACTGCAGCTATGTTCCTGTGGAGGAGACACAGAGGGACTCTTTAAACTGCAGCTATGTTTCTGTGGAGGAGACACAGAGGGACTCTTTAAACTGCAGCTATGTTCCTGTGGAGGAGACACAGAGGGACTCTTTAAACTGCAGCTATGTTCCTGTGGAGGAGACACAGAGGGACTCTTTAAACTGCAGCTATGTTTCTGTGGAGGAGACACAGAGGGACTCTTTAAACTGCAGCTATGTTTCTGTGGAGGGGACACAGAGGGACTCTTTAAACTGCAGCTATGTTCCTGTGGAGGAGACACAGAGGGACTCTTTAAACTGCAGCTATGTTTCTGTGGAGGAGACACAGAGGGACTCTTTAAACTGCAGCTATGTTTCTATGGAGGAGACACAGAGGGACTCTTTAAACTGCAGCTATGTTCCTGTGGAGGAGACACAGAGGGACTCTTTAAACTGCAGCTATGTTCCTGTGGAGGAGACACAGAGGGACTCTTTAAACTGCAGCTATGTTTCTGTGGAGGAGACACAGAGGGACTCTTTAAACTGCAGCTATGTTTCTGTGGAGGGGACACAGAGGGACTCTTTAAACTGCAGCTATGTTCCTGTGGAGGAGACACAGAGGGACTCTTTAAACTGCAGCTATGTTTCTGTGGAGGAGACACAGAGGGACTCTTTAAACTGCAGCTATGTTTCTATGGAGGAGACACAGAGGGACTCTTTAAACTGCAGCTATGTTCCTGTGGAGGAGACACAGAGGGACTCTTTAAACTGCAGCTATGTTCCTGTGGAGGAGACACAGAGGGACTCTTTAAACTGCAGCTATGTTTCTGTGGAGGAGACACAGAGGGACTCTTTAAACTGCAGCTATGTTTCTGTGGAGGGGACACAGAGGGACTCTTTAAACTGCAGCTATGTTCCTGTGGAGGAGACACAGAGGGACTCTTTAAACTGCAGCTATGTTTCTGTGGAGGAGACACAGAGGGACTCTTTAAACTGCAGCTATGTTTCTGTGGAGGGGACACAGAGGGACTCTTTAAACTGCAGCTATGTTCCTGTGGAGGAGACACAGAGGGACTCTTTAAACTGCAGCTATGTTCCTGTGCTGCTTTACTGAGAACAGTTTGAAAGAGACAAACTAACCAGAGACACAGCAGGTGAGAAAGAGGAGCAGCAGGATGAGGAAGAGGAGCAGCCGGAGGATGAAGACCATCTTCTCCCTGTGAGAGGACACACACCAGAGGTCACACCAGGAACAGTAATGTATGATTGACACTCAGGAACACTCAGGAACTTCTTTCTGCTTTGGGACTCAGACAAACACACCACACCCTCCCTGTCTTGGTGGATAAGGACGATTTCTTTTTAACTTCTTCTGTATAACAATTTGGCTTAAACATGATGTACTTCAGTCATCACGTGAACTGCTTTCTTTCAAGTCTTTCTGTTAATGCCCCCATCCTGAGTTGCTCTTTTTTCCTGCAGGGATGTTTTTTACCTTGACCAGTTGTGTTTACATGACATGTCACTTGTTAGACGCTTTTATCCAAAGCGACTTACATACTCAATACTTTGGGCAATCCCCACAGGAGCAATTTGAGGTGAAGTGTCTCAGGGACACAACGACATGCTGACTGCAGTGGGGTTTGAACCTGTGACCCCCTGATCCCAACACCAAGCCTCTACCCACTGCGCCACACACACCTCCCTTTATCAACCTCTGCCGGACATAAAGGACTGCAGGGCAAACTCTTTACTCTCACAAGTTTCCAAGAAAATAAACCACGCGTCCTGGGAGCCTCTGTTCCTCGAGGACTCCAGCAACGAGCAGCTGTCTCTCCGCGGGCATGACCTCAGCCCGGGCTCTGGTTACTGGGAGGACCGCTGAAAAGACCTGTTATGCCCCTTTCACACCGGCGCTTTTCCAGCTCCTGCTGGGAGCTAGAGCCTGAAAAGCGCCGGTTTTTCCTGTTCACACCGCAGCGGCGGCGCGTCATAGCTCCGGAATGCGGTTCACTTCCAGCTCCAAAAAGTTGTCGGTCCAGAGGCAAGAGCTTTGGAGCTATGACGCGGCGTCGCTTACGTCTCTTACGTCGAGGCGTGCAGGAAACCTTACTTTGACCATCCGTTCGCTGTTATTGATCATTGTGGAGAGCAGGCAGACGTTTGGTTTGTTATTATAGCAGCTATCGGATGGAATTAATACATGGGCTGTACAGGTTGTCATGTCCGACTATCACAAGTAGAATCATAATGAAAAATACGCCGGTAAAAAGTGCCTGGAGAAAACGGCTTAGCAAGTAGTCCGTTTAGCTTCGGTTGCTATGCTAACATCACCCATGTTATACCAGAGAAACTTTCATAACAGCGTTGTGATGCCAAACAGTGTCAATTCAGACTGACACACATTCACTTAAGGGGAACTGGGGATATGTATCAGCTGCTTGTGTGACAGTCAGACAGTGAATACTTTAGAGCCGTGTGAGCTAACACGGAGCTAACGGGAGAATACACTCCCGTTGAAGAGCAGCCAGCACTGTAGCGGTCGGTAAATGCTGAAACACATTAATAAACAATGAACCACGGCACTCTGGAGAAAAGTATAAGGTTGGAGAAGTCGTTATTTAATTTAATCTGGCTTCGTATGATTAAAAGCAACACGATCGTCGACCCGACGCAGTCCCCCCCCCGTTGTTGTGGGAGAAAATCTCTCGGCAGCTCTGGGCGGTGTGAACAGAGCGGGAGCTGAAAAGGGAAACGGGAGCTGAACCAGAAAAGCTCTCGCTAGGAGCTAGAAAGGGAAAAGCGCTGGTGTGAAAGCCGCATCAGAGTCCCGGAGCAAGTCTGCTGCGGCGTTCACGTGTTGTCCTGTCCGAAACTTTGGAATTGTAATCGCAACGCAACCACCCCCCCCCCCCCAAAAAAAGTGGTGGATACTAAACTACGTGTTTCCAGTTTCACCACACCTGGTGCATGTGACGATGTCAATTTTTGATTTTTGTAAATTATCACAATTATAGTTGCCACAAGGAAATAGTATGTCACAAAACACCTTTCAAATGTTTAGTTGTTTGTTGAAGTGAATCATAAAAACAAAAAAATGCAGTTTTGTATTTTATATATATATTTATTTTTTATCTGACTTTAAGGGGCATCCATGTATCTAACCCAAACACTCCTGCGATCACTGCTTCAGGTAATTACCTTTAAATGATACTGTAATGAAACATGTGTCTAATTAGCTACGTGCACTTTATAGGATTACACATGAGCAACCATGACAGCATTTGAGGTTTTCCACTCAATGAAAGGTAAACACAGAAACTAACAGAAGTCATTTGGATTCTGCTCATTTCCTGTTTTCTAATGACACTCTCGCTTTCTGTGAACGCCCCAAAAGTTGAATCAGCCTTATCAGCTTTAACAGTCTACAGCAGGGCCGAACTGCAAATCAATCCAGACCGAACCCTGTTCCCATTATAAAAAATAAAAATTATACAAAATAAAAAAATAAAAACGTTCTGATTCTGATGTAAATTAATGTATATTTTCTTGTGTCTGACGCGTTGTGAGAATGAACGTGCATATATATTTACTTGTGTGCGCGAGCGTGACACGCATTGCAGACCGCAAGTTAACCGCAAGTTTACCTTGACTTTCTAATGCTTCAAATGCCTTTTTTGCCGAGGTTCAAGGCATTGGCTACAGACAAACAGTTTCATTTCTCCCACTAGTTCAAACCACCATACTGTACGTAATGTATGTGTGTATACAGGGGCGCCGTTTGCCGACAGGCAAGGCAGGCAAGTGCTTGGACCAGAAGGGGCCCCCCAAAGAAGGTAGATTAAGAAGGTCCACAGCAACGACAACATGAAACACCCTGTAATTTACTGCAACGACATGTCGGGAAACCCCCTCAAGGCGGCCCCATGCATAGCGAACCGTAAGAAACTCCGGGGGGACGACGACGACGACGACGACTTTCCTGGCATTGATCCGGAGTCCGGAGTCTCCGGACCAGTGACCTTGTATAAAATTCACAAGTGGACCTTTAATAAACAAGTTTGAGTACCCCTGGTCTACAGACTGTGTAGGCAAACAGAGTGTTTTATAGTATCTAACGTGGGCTAAAAGTCTCAGTTTCATGCCACATGTGTGTTACTGCTGCCGGTTCGTCAGGCTGCCGCGTCACTCCCCGAAAACGCACACACACGTTACTACAGTTTATATGCCTTATATAGAAACATTATTGACCAACAATGCCAACAAAGTGTAAAAACTCATATGGGCTACTTACGTTAGTTGTGGGTCTTCTCAGAGGGAAAAAAGTAAAAGTGTTTGTTGCTCACTGCCTCTTCTCCTAATTTGACTTTTAATTCCCTCCCTCTTTCAATGGGTGGAGTGGAGTCATTCACCACCTAATGGGACAGGACTGAAGTCGTTTTACTCCAAATGTGAAACATGAAACAAATGATAGAAATAAAACATGTGCTATCTATTACAAAATTAACTTTAATATTTAATAACATTACTAAACAAGGAAGCAGTAGTAGAATAATAATTCAGATATTTTACTTGAGTAAAAGTGGCAATACCACACTTCATAAAACAATGTTTGACTCTGCCAAGTAAGTTAAAGTGTAAACTAAAGGTATTTTAGTCAGGAACTTTTTTTAATCTGAATTGGGGTGGGGTCTACATATTAAGTAACAAATAAAGGAAATAAGATTATAAAAAGTCATAGATAACAAGCTTTGAAGCCAACATTGAAATCTGGCGATTTGCCATTGCACAAAGACCCTCAGATTTATGAGGGTATTGCATGATATTTGGCATCCAAGATTCCCAATTCACAACACCCTGGTCCAGCTAAAAAAAAACATAATTGATAGAGGCTGTTGTTAATAAAGCACAACATATCTAGAAAATGATTGCCTGAAAAGTGAAGGTACAAAAAGAGAAGATCCAGCTTAACTTTCACCTGGAAATGTCCTCTTTGACCCCACCTGCAAACTGAAATGCAGTCAGTCAGGTCAACTTACACTCAGGTTGATAATGTTGTTCTGCACAAACAGTGGCATGTTTTATTGTAGGAACCATCTGCTCTTGATATAAAAGCAGGAACCAATGTCTGTTTTCGTCTTGCTGGAACTGAAAGCAAACATTGGTGCCTGTCTTTATATCATGAGCACCAACGGCATTTTTAATCAGATTTTAAAATATGAAAAGCGGTTTGCCACTTAAGAATTTTTGGGATTTTTATAATTGTTCTCCCGATAGATGCTGAAATGAAACCCTGGTGGACAGATTGGAGTTTCTTTCCCTCCACTTCACATACAGAGAGAACAATGTTGACTGTTGACAGAGGAAGTGTGAGTATTGGAATCGGGTCAGAGTTTCAACAGTTTTACTCAAGCCTGATTTTAGCTTAAACAAACACGTTGTAAGAGTCATGTTACTGCAGAAAGTGGAGACACGTCACAGAGCAATAATAAAAACTAAATTTGTGTACTGTGCAATGCAACAGGCTAAAAACTGTTGGGGAAGATGTTTTTGTTTAAATCCATACTGTATATTCTCCAACACAAGTTATTTTAAAGTTAAACTGTAAAAGTGCCAAAATGTTTTTTTCTGATACATTTTCTTAATGCCTGCCACTAAAACTAAAAGGGTGACATCACACTCCACATTCCCAAATGTGTTCTCAACATGCTAAGTTAAAGTTTCCCTTACACCCGGCGCTAATACTCTTCTCTGGGCTTGTCTCCCAGCCTTGCAGCTTTGTTATAAATGAGAGCACTGTCCCTGGTTAACATGGATCACTGTAAGAGTTTTGTCGTGCTATAAAGTCATTCATCCTCTGTTCTCTGTTTCTCTGGATCGACTTCACATTGTAAATAAAACAATGCTTCAATGTTATGTATGATAATACTAAAAGTGTTTATTTATTGAGCCACATAAATATATATATATATATATATATTAAAACAATATCTTTACTTACACCAACAGTGAAATCCACAAATACAGACATTGACAATAAGTGAATGAGACAGGAACAAAAACCATCAGGTGACACGACCAGATTACAAATCTAAATAACTGACAAAAATAATAAATAATAAATGAATACAATAAAAATATGAATCAATTAAAATGAATGAATGCACAAAAGGACAAACATAAAGGCACTCGGCAATACAACCATTCCCAAGCAGCTATTCACTTTGGCTTTCAAGAACATTCAGCCACATATTAACCAAACGTCTTTCTCCTTTCTACTGCAGCTGACACACGTGTTACTTATAGATAAGTAGATTTGCTTATAATTAATCAGCAAGATCATTTAACTCCTGTACGCCAACTATTATGTTTACCTTTGGAAACCAGAAACCGAGCTGCAACGGCCTAATGCATGATGGGAAAAAGTAAGAAACAGAATGGCACGTCTCAAAAAGATGAAGTGCTACCAAAAGGACTTCACACATCAAGGGTGTCCTACTGGTTACAACGCATCACTTGGGAAACATTCAACATGTTTTGGAAAAACCTTGTAAGTGTTCCTCGTGAAATGGAATAGTGTACTCGGCCCCTTAGCCTCCTACAGCCGTCCCTCTGTCAGAAATCTTGGAGTAATCTTTGACAACTGTTTTAAATTCGACAAACAAATAAACTCAGTTGTCAAGACAAGCTTCTTCCAGCTGCGGCTTCTGGGGAAGGTAAAGGCCTATCTTCCTAGTAAGGAATTTGAACAGCTAATCCATATTTATAACGTTTCGTTTAGACTACTGTAACTCCCTGTATATTGGTGTTGATAAGTGTTTGATCCGTCGCCTGCAGCTGGTCCAAAATGCAGCTGCACGCCTTCTTACCGGGAAGAGACGTTATGACCACATCACACCTGTTTTGGCAGACCTTCATTGGCTTCCTGTCAGTTACAGGATCCAGTTCAAGTACTTACTTGTTGTTTTTAAATCATTGCATGGACTGGCACCACATTACCTGTCTGAGTTGTTGCACCGCCATGCTCCAGCTAGAGCATTGCGATCAGCTCAGCAAAATATGTTGGTGGTTCCTCGGTGCAGGAAAAAAACCCGAGGTGTTGCAGCTCCCAGACTGTGGAACAGCCTCCCAGTACATATCCGGACTGCTGAGTCTATTGAACTTTTTAAATCTCAGCTAAAAACTCACCTCTTTGCACTGGCTTTTAATACCAGTTGAACATTACATTTTTACATTTGTATGTGTTTTTTAAAATATTTTTCTAGTTATTGTGCTTTTTATCATGTTTTTAATTATTGTTTTATTATTGTACTCCCATTGTGTTATTTAATATTTATTGCCTGTACAGCACTTTGGTCAACTGAAGGTTGTTTTAAATGTGCTATATACATACTGTAAATAAAGATTGAGATTGATTGAAATGAAAGAGATTTCAGTCATGCAAGCGTAAAGAATGTTTAAACTTTGGACCAAATGTCCAATTCCTCCCCGACAGCCTCAGTCACACAGCTTCTAATGAAGAGAGTGTGAACACAGCAGGAAGGACACACTCTGTCTATCTTCCAGAAACATGAACTGCCCTAACTGTGTGACCAAAGAATGATGCCAGCTTCCTCTATGTGGTTAACCTCTTTTCAAATCCCCCACATGACCCTGTTGCTTCTGCTGTATATCCTGCAAACATAGAAAGTGTTATTTTTGATAATAAATTATGGTCAAACGGTTTGAGTTGCTTGCCGCTTCAGTTACACCGAATAAAGATAAGGGAGGATGAGCAAGTGACTACAGGCTTTACAAATATGGTACAGTGTTTATAATGGAGTTGGGCCAGAGTTTTACTCAACTCAATTTGCTCCATTAAAACATGTTCCATGAGACGCTATCTCCGCAAATTGTGGTGTTTAGTGTTTCCTATCCTGAGTCATTGCAGTACATTCTTACCATCAAGCCAAAAGAGTTTCTTCTACATGTTCCTGCTGCAGGTTAATGTCTCTTACCGCTGCTTTAATGTGCATCAGGTCTAAGGAAGTTTATTATTAAGTCTGTTCATAAATCCTCAAATGCAGTCTATAGGCCTACACATGATTTTGATGAAGCATTATGTGAATTAGCCACTGACGACCTTTCACTTCCTCCAGTAATACCCAACGATACAGACGGAGGAACAGGCCTCTAATAAAGAGTGCTTTGTCCTCTAAAATCTAGTATGTATAAAGTCAGCCTTTGACAGTTAACCATGGAGGGGAAGCAAGGAGAAATGTTTCCAGGTTCATTAAGATCACTTTTAAAGGTGGGGTGGGTAATTTTGGAGAAACCGGCTCGAGATCGCTAGAATTTGAAAATACACAGCCGGAAAAAAACGCCACTTCCTTACAGAGCCCCTCCTCCAACACACACGAACGCGCACATTTTGTCAAAGCACTTCAGATATTCATTGCTATCAGGATGTTAAGAGCATTCCATGGAATATAACAAAAAGTGTATCTCGAGCCGGTTTCTCAAACTTACCCACCCCACCTTTAAGTTGTATAAGATAAGATAGGACTTTATTTCTCCCGAAGGAAATTGTTGTGCCAGAGTTACAAAAATACAATAACACATATAACACCATTTAAATCCAAAAATTGACATTATATAAAAGATGAAAATTGATTTGCATTTAACTGTGTGAAATAACTATTTGACCCCCTTGCAAAACATGTCTTAGTTCTTGGTGGAGAAACCCTGGTTGGACAGACAGAGGTCAGACTCTTCTTGTAGTTGGTCACCAGGTTTGTGAACATCTCAGGAAGGATTGTGGTCCACTCCTCTCTGAAGATCCTCTCCAAATCATTCAGGTTTTTAGGCTGATGTTTGGCATCTGGAAGCTTCAGCTCCCTCCACAGATTTTCTATGGGATTAAGGTCCGGATACTGACAAGGCCCCTCCATCACCTAATGTGCTTCTTCTTTAGCCCCTCCTGTGTTGCCTTGGCCGTATGTTCAGGGTCATTGTCCTGCTGGAAGACCCCTCCATGACCCATTTTCACTGTCCTGACTGCTGGCTGAGGGAAGGAGGCTATCGGCCAAAGCTAAGACTAAAAAAACACAAACACTTCTGCACATTGGTGTAACATATAAAACAAAACTGTATTAAATCATGCAATATTTTAAGATTTTAATTTTACATTAAATAAAGTATTTATTTATTTAATTTAACTATGAAATGAATTATCTTATTCTTCCGTGAGTTTCATCCAATGACAATTTGACCATTTAGTAAGGTAAAAAGCAAAAAGTGGAAACGCCTCTCAGACGCTCTTCCGTTTACTGGTTTAATAAATAAAAACAAATGATCCGAAGATACACGTACTCACAGGGTTCACATCAGGACGTTTATATCATTGGCTCCTGCTCACCAATCTGCCGTTGATCCCTATTGGAAACGCAAACGCCGCCCTCTCAGAGGCGCACCTGCCCCTCTGTAACTCTATAGCTGTGAACTCCTGTTGTTGTAATCTGACATATTCAGACATGAAAACCAGAAAACAGAACTGTCAGCACTGAGGTCTCTGCAGTCTCAACTATTTAAAGGTAAGAACACATGTTTCTACTTTTTTAAATAAATATATCTTACTGCCAGCGACGTGCAGTCAAGCCTCACCTGTCATACTCCAATGTAACAGAAAAACAACTAAAGAAAAACTAAATAGTAATAATAATAAAATGTCTCCACTGATCTGTGTTGTAAGTGTGATTTCTGTATGATTCCAATCGCTTTTTATAGTCAAAATCTATATTTTGCCGAGCTCCGCTACAACTACATGGGAGCGATGAGGAGTGACCCCACAGAAACTGTCTGGAAAGCGGGCACTAAGCGCATGCCTGTTACCATCTCACTGTATGTCACCAATGTAATGTTTGTAGATCCCTTTATTACATTTATCCTCGCCATCCATAGTCTCTAAATAACTTATTTCACGTATATATTTAGGCCCGCTGGTCTCATCATACAACGGCAATGACAAAAGCACCTGGGGCCTCATTTATGAAGGGATATACGTTAAAAAAAATGGCGTACGCCAGTTTCTACGCAATGTTTGCGATTTATAAAATACTAACTTGGCGGGAAAATGTGCTGTCCTCCACGCAAACTCTAACACATGCGTACGCACTAAGCACACAAACGGGAGAGACGAGAAACTGCCACACCGTTGGCAGAAGGAAGAATGGAGAGAAATATGTGGAAATATTACCATAAATAAAATGTTACCTCTCATTTATCAAATATGAAGAATTCATTTTCAAACATTGATTAAAGCCAATCTTAAAATGATTAAACAAACGCCTGTTTGAGACTCCTCAGTGCACACAAAAACATAACTTGGAGAAATAAATAAATACGGATATGTTATTTAAAACCACCTCGAATATGTTGTGTTAATGTTTTGAAATGTTTTCTCATAAATGATGCGGTAAGCAGGAGGACAGAATTACGTCTAAACTGACGCCGTTTTACATTTCTATAGGTTGTAGATACGAGCATGGTTTTATATACTATCACGTTTAATCGTGTTTTATGCCGTTTGCCAAGACTTGATAAATCGCTCGTAAAACACAGGCGGTATGGAAACTAAGAACACCATAGCCTTTGTGGTAAATTGTACAGCTAATATAACACAACACATTAGTTGTATTTCCTTTAACTGGTGGATTATGGATATATAGTTGCTGATCGACAGCTGGAACACAAACCACCAAATACAACAAAATAATTCAGATCCAGTCGTCATGACTCCACTCCGGAGGGATTCCCCGATCATTTCTTACAGTTTCTCATCAAGGGGGTGTCTCCTGTCCCCGGGACAAACACACTGCCTGAGGAAGGTTGTGTGTATTTTTTTTGGTTAAGCTCTTTCCAATTGCCCCAGTTAAGACTGCTTTTGCTGCAGTTTCTGTGAACAAAGTGCACAAAACTAATTAACACGTCTACACTCTGCTACACACAGAGACCGGTATATGTGATCCTAAAGAAATGTACATACAAATACTACTTCATTTTCAGGTTATTCTCATGGAACTATTTTAATTGTCTATTTTAGTTAAACAGTTTACAGTTTGAAGAATAATATGCACATTGAATATATTCATACAAATGTAAGTAGCTTAAAGGTTACATTATATTATTATAATTTTTGTAACTTGGTATCAGTGTCTAGTTTGTGAAAACAGGAACGTTTTTATTGTAGGAACCATCTGCTCTTGATATAAAAGCAGGAACCAATGTTTGTTTTGGTCTCGCTCGTCTCGCTGGAAGGGTAATATGATAAGAGGTTTTTAAAAAAGACATGCCACTCATACTATAGTATAATTTTTCTCTCCCGAGAAATGATGTTACGAATCCACGGTCGATAGATTAGAGATTGGAGAGGCTTTCTCACAGTATTTGCATTTCCCTCCAATTTACATAAACAGAGATAACAATGTTGACTGTGGCACAGAGGCAGTTGTATTGGCATCTGGACAGAGTTTCAACCGTTTTACTCAAGCTGGATTTTATCTTCAGAAAATACGTTATTTTAGTGAGTCATCTTACTGCAGAAAGTGGAGACACCTCACCCAGCAATAACAAAAACTACATTATTGAACTCTGCATGAATGCAAAAGCTGTCCCTTCAACCTCACAAATTCACTATTATTATTATTGTTGTTATTATTCAGAGAGATTCTGAAACAAAACTGAAGGGGTTCAGTTGGTCCTGTATTTCAGTCTGTGTTCACTGATCTCAAAGCAGAAAGTATTTCCTGATTCAGTTCAAATAAAATATAATGTTGATATCTGGCGCCACCTAGTGACAGACATATGTTACTGTTCCTGGTGTCAGTCCTCTGTGTAATAAGTAATGTGGTAAAGACAGACTGTGTGTGTGTGTGTGTGTGTGTGTGTGTGTGTGTGTGTGTGTGTGTGTGTGTGTGTGTGTGTGTGTGTTTGTGTGTGTGTGTGTCCTCTCACAGGGAGAAGATGATCTTCCTCATCCTGCTGCTCCTCTTCCTCACCCCCTGTGTCTCTGGTTAGTTTACTCCTTTATTTCCCACTCAGACACATTGAATATTATGGAAAAACTTTTTGTGTCACGTTTTACCTTTTCACAAAGAAGCATCTTAGAGCTCTTTGGTATGGAACACTATTAGTGCAAGGCAAGAGGGTCAAAACTGAGGAGGGGGATTCTGATTTTATTTAGCTTTTTTAAAATGTCAAGAAGTGGAGCTTTCAGTATATTCTCTAACAAAAGTAGTTTGTTATTAAAAGTTCAATGTTTATTCTCAATAATTAAACTTTAAAAGCGCCTAACTGTTTTTTCTGATACATTTTTCCTAATGCCTGCACTCAAATTGAAAGATTGATATTTTACTCGACATCTTGGCTTTTTTCTTAACATGTTAAATAAAAAAGTAAAATAGTCCTTTTCTTCTTTATTTCCCTCATACCCTAATACTCTTCCTCACCTGAGGAGACCTCTGTCTCTGGTTAGCTTCAGTTAGTCTCTTTAAAGCTGTTCTCAGTAAAGCAGCACAGAAACATAGCTGCAGTTTAAAGAGTCCCTCTGTGTCTCCTCCACAGGAACATAGCTGCAGTTTAAAGAGTCCCTCTGTGTCTCCTCCACAGAAACATAGCTGCAGTTTAAAGAGTCCCTCTGTGTCTCCTCCACAGGAACATAGCTGCAGTTTAAAGAGTCCCTCTGTGTCTCCTCCACAGAAACATAGCTGCAGTTTAAAGAGTTCCTCTGTGTCTCCTCCACAGGAACATAGCTGCAGTTTAAAGAGTCCCTCTGTGTCTCCTCCACAGAAACATAGCTGCAGTTTAAAGAGTCCCTCTGTGTCTCCTCCACAGGAACATAGCTGCAGTTTAAAGAGTCCCTCTGTGTCTCCTCCACAGAAACATAGCTGCAGTTTAAAGAGTACCTCTGTGTCTCCTCCACAGGAACATAGCTGCAGTTTAAAGAGTCCCTCTGTGTCTCTACCACAGAAACATAGCTCTAGTTTAAAGAGTCCCTCTGTGTCTCCTCCACAGTAACATAGCTGCAGTTTAAAGAGTACCTCTGTGTCTCCTCCACAGGAACATAGCTGCAGTTTAAAGAGTACCTCTGTGTCTCCTCCACAGAAACATAGCTCTAGTTTAAAGAGTCCCTCTGTGTCTCCTCCACAGTAACATAGCTACAGTTTAAATAATCCCTCTGTGTCTCCTCCACAGGAACATAGCTGCAGTTTAAAGAGTCCCTCTGTATCTCCTCCACAGTAACATAGCTGCAGTTTAAAGAGTCCCTCTGTGTCTCCTCCACAGTAACATAGCTACAGTTTAAAGAGTCCCTCTGTGTCTCCTCCACAGTAACATAGCTGCAGTTTAAAGAGTCCCTCTGTGTCTCCTCCACAGGAACATTTGTAGTGAATGTGACTCAGACTTCCTATCAGGCAGAGGAGAACCAGAACATCACCCTGGAGTGGACCTTCAGCACCAGAAGAGAAACTTCACTCAGATCCATTTCTACCATCTGTCAGCTGTTAACTGAGACCAGAACCTACTTCATGTTTCATCTCCATCAAGGTGTTGAATCCCCAGAGTCTCAGGATCCAGAGTTTGCAGGACGAGTCCAGTGGGACAAAGACGTCCTCACAGAAGGACGCCTCACACTTCATGTCTCCAGACTCAGGACCAATGACTCTGGGTTTTATGTGTGTGACATACTCGTCACACCTGATGGGAGTAACTCTAGGAGATGCTGGCTCAACGTCACTGGTGAGTAACCCCCATTCATCTTTGTTATAAAGTTAAACTCTCAGGGTGTACGAGAACCTGGGAAATGTTGTAGATGTTTTCTTTATCAGGGAAATGTCTTTGACACAGAGTTGTTTGGTGTTTTCCAGCAGCGACACATTGGAACAAACCTGAGACTCCCAACACAGGAAGAAGGGGAAGGATTGGCCTCTACTCAGCGTTTGCACTGGTTTCTGTTCTACTTGCGCTATGTGTCTGTGTGCTTCTTAACTTCAGACGACAAGCAGCCAGTGAACAGGGTTCAGACTCAGCGAGTGGACCAACTGAAGCTCTTTGACACTATGTGTTACATTAATGCAAATCTATGAATATTGCACACTCCTGCACAATACTGACTCTTTGAAATCGGCAACGCTCTGACACTTTACTTCGGGTATACTGTACATCTTATCTTTCTTTCATTAAGAGATCAACTAAAATGACCAAATGTGATTTCTGAGAGAGGCATTGAATCCCCAGAGTCTCAGGATCCAGAGTTTGCAGGACGAGTCCAGTGGGACAAAGACGTCCTCACAGAAGGACGCCTCACACTTCATGTCTCCAGACTCAGGACCAATGACTCTGGGTTTTATGTGTGTGACATACTTGTCACACCTGATGGGAGTAACTCTAGGAGATGGTGGCTCAAAGTCACTGGTGAGTAACCTCAGTAGAAGTCTAGAGGCTCCAGAGAGCTAAATACTAATGCATCTACGTCAAGTATGTTGCCGCTAATATTGGATCATATTCATATCATATTATTGGAACAGTTAACAGTTGGAAAAGGAAATAGCAGATACTCAACAAAGTATGAATGAAAGACCAAAAGAGTCCTGCTGCTCAAATCTTAAGACCGGCTTGTTTTAACTGTTTAAAATGTGCATAACTCATTTTAAAATAAAACTCTTCTCACAAACCAACTGTGATCCAAACCAGCCCCACACAGAACTCATTTTAGTGGAAAAGGGGAAACTGAGAAGCTGGAACCACAGGAGGTTTTTCAGAAGAATGAAGGTTGCAGATTGTCATGTTTTCACTCTAGATTAAACCTGTTATATATTAACACTAAAATGGTTCCTCATGTTATATTCTGTCCTTTTCCACAGCTGCTGAAGAGCTCCAACCTCAGAGACCAGAGAGTTGGACAGGTGTTTGGGTTACTGTTGGAGTGTCAGCAGCTGTTCTGGTTTTCTTTGTTGTCAGCATTTGGAAAGTTTGTATTCCTAGATATGAGAGAAGAACCCACAATGCAGTCATACAGATGGAGAGTTTATCAGAGGAACAAACCATACGGACTAACATATCTCCGTCTGAATCTGAGCATAAAGTGAGACTCTCCAACATCTGATTTAAGAGTCAGAAAGGACCTCAGTGTAACCTCTGTAAAGTGTCATTTTTATACTTTTTTATTTCAGTTTTCACTGAGTTTTATCATTCAGCTGTAAGGTCATCAAACCCTTTGTGTACATGGATATTGTTACCATGCTGCACTTAATGTCATTCTCAAATGTTACACATTATAAATACATCAATTTTATTTACTTTTTGACTTAAAAGTGACACAACCTGCATTGAATGTCCTACAGGAGGGAATATTTGGAAATGTCGTATTGGATCGACTTCAAAGTGTTAAAATGCTTTATTGCTAGTTATTATAATAAAGGTGTTTATTCTTTCACCCTATTGTTCGTCCTCATGTCTCTCTGCTTCATGAACACTGCAGCTGCCTTGAATTCCTGCCAAGTCTTGAAAGTGAAACTAAAAACACACGGACCAATCAGGAGGCAGTAAACTGAGGGGGGGTTTCTAATTTGCATGCATCAGGGAAAGGCGACCAATGGGAACCTTTGCTTTATTAATAAGAGTGGACCGCTGATATTGAACGACTGCAATCAGCCAATCAGAGAGAAGGAGATCCACTGCCTGCTTATTGATCTGAACAGCTGTTTTCTAGTTGTAACATATATGGTAGTGCAGTTCAGGGACCAATCATTGAGGGATGCTGTGATTCCTGCTGTCTCCAGACTCATGAGATCTCTCCACTTTCCAAAGGTTTACAGGTAAGACCACATCTTTGTTCTCCTGTTAGAAACTAAGGTGCTAAAAGACACGCCTCAATTACCTCGTGGTTATGAATTAAAGTGCTACCAAAACGACTGGAAACATCCAGGGTATCCTATTGGTTAAACTACAAAAAATACATCTGGGGAAAATGCTTTTTACACATTATTTTGTGGAGAAAGAGCTTCCAGTTTCATGAACAATACAGGAATACAGTTTTCATTATTAATGAGAGTCCCTGTTTCTGTCTGAAGGCTGATCCAATTAGCAACCACACCCTTCCTCTCCGTGACACAGCAAACATCGACTGCACTCAATAGAGTGGCAGATAACTATATTAGTCATTCTAAAATAAATAAATAATAATTCTAAAAACACAATATATCAAAAATAATAATAATACAAAATATATTATAAATATTATTTAGTAAATAATAATAATAATAATAATAAATTAGGGAGGATAAATTGTACATAAAAAAAAAAGAAAGAAAAGAAAAATCATAATAGTTAAGATCATTGAAAGATTATTATAAAAATCAAAATAAGAATGATGATAATTATAGTATAAAATAATAACAATAATAAATACAAAGAAATTATAAAAATAATAATAGTAAAAATCCAATAACAATAGTAAATAAAAGAGATCATAATAATAACAGTAAAAGGCCAACTGCTGTATTTAATCCGAAATCAGGTGTTGTGTTAGAACCAGTTAATCCAGTTTGCTGCGGATTGAAGTCCACGTGTTGACTGATAAAAGTGAAAGTATTTTCTGATTCAGTTTAAAGAGACGATAATATTGATATCTGGCGCCACCTAGTGTCAGAAGTTCATTACTGCTCCTGGTGTCAGTCTGAAGTATTGTGATGATAACTACAGACAGACTGTATGTCTTCTAATGTGTGTGTGTGTGTGTGTGTGTGTGTGTGTGTGTGTGTGTGTGTGTGTGTGTGTGTGTGTGTGCATGTGTGTGTGTGTCCTCTCAGGGAGAAGATGATCTTCCTCATCCTGCAGCTCCTCTTCCTCACCTCCTGTGTCTCTGGTTAGTTTGTCTCTTTAAAGCTGTTCTCAGTAAAGCAGCACAGGAACATAGCTGCAGTTTAAAGAGTCCCTCTGTGTCTCCTCCACAGAAATATAGCTGCAGTTTAAAGAGTCCCTCTGTGTCTCCTCCACAGGACCATAGCTGCAGTTTAAAGAGTCCCTCTTGTCTCCTCCACAGAAATATAGCTGCAGTTTAAAGAGTCCCTCTGTTTCTCCTCCACAGAAACATAGCTGCAGTTTAAAGAGTCCCTCTGTGTCTCCTCCACAGAAATATAGCTGCAGTTTAAAGAGTCCCTCTGTGTCTCCTCCACAGGACCATAGCTGCAGTTTAAAGAGTCCCTCTGTGTCTCCTCCACATGAACATAGCTGCAGTTTAAAGAGTCCCTCTGTGTCTCCTCCACATGAACATATAGCTGCAGTTTAAAGAGTCCCTCTGTGTCTCCTCCACATGAACATAGCTGCAGTTTAAAGAGTCCCTCTGTGTCTCCTCTACATGAACATATAGCTGCAGTTTAAAGAGTCCCTCTGTGTCTCCTCCACAGGAACATAGCTGCAGTTTAAAGAGTCCCTCTGTGTCTCCTCCACAGAAACATAGCTGCAGTTTAAAGAGTCCCTCTGTGTCTCCTCCACAGGACCATAGCTGCAGTTTAAAGAGTCCCTCTTGTCTCCTCCACATGAACATAGCTGCAGTTTAAAGAGTCCCTCTGTGTCTCCTCTACATGAACATATAGCTGCAGTTTAAAGAGTCCCTCTGTGTCTCCTCCACAGGAACATAGCTGCAGTTTAAAGAGTCCTTCTGTGTCTCCTCCACAGAAACATAGCTGCAGTTTAAAGAGTCCCTCTGTGTCTCCTCCACAGGACCATAGCTGCAGTTTAAAGAGTCCCTCTGTGTCTCCTCCACATGAACATAGCTGCAGTTTAAAGAGTCCCTCTGTGTCTCCTCCACATGAATATATAGCTGCAGTTTAAAGAGTCCCTCTGTGTCTCCTCCACATGAACATAGCTGCAGTTTAAAGAGTCCCTCTGTGTCTCCTCCACAGGACCATAGCTGCAGTTTAAAGAGTCCCTCTGTGTCTCCTCCACATGAACATAGCTGCAGTTTAAAGAGTCCCTCTGTGTCTCCTCCACATGAACATATAGCTGCAGTTTAAAGAGTCCCTCTGTGTCTCCTCCACATGAACATAGCTGCAGTTTAAAGAGTCCCTCTGTGTCTCCTCTACATGAACATATAGCTGCAGTTTAAAGAGTCCCTCTGTGTCTCCTCCACAGGAACATAGCTGCAGTTTAAAGAGTCCCTCTGTGTCTCCTCCACAGAAACATAGCTGCAGTTTAAAGAGTCCCTCTGTGTCTCCTCCACAGGAACATTTGTAGTGAATGTGGCTCAGACTTCCCATCAGGCAGAGGAGAACCAGAACATCACCCTGGAGTGGACCTTCAGCTCCAGAACAGACACTAACTTCAGATCCATTTCTATCTACTGTGAGATGTTTACTGATGGCAGACCCTACGTCCTGTTTCATCTATACAAAGGTGATGAACTCCCAGAGTCTCAGGATCCACAGTTTGCAGGACGAGTCCAGTGGGACAAAGACGTCCTCACAGAAGGACGCCTCACACTTCATGTCTCCAGACTCAGGACCAGTGACTCTGGGTTTTATGTGTGTGCCATACGCACACCTGATGGGAGTAACTCTAGCATATGCTGGCTCGACGTCACTGGTGAGTAACCTCAGTAGAAGTGCTGTATTTAAATTAAAACTTCACTTTTTTAAATATGCAGATGGTAGCTCTATGTGAAATGGTAAATAAACATGCAAGGTCATTAAAAGATTGTAAAATGGTATGAAAATAGGCTTTCTCCATGTCCACATGATGTTACTAACTGTATTTTCCACAGCTGCTGCTCAACCAGAGAGCTGGAGAAACAACTGGATCAACGTTAGACTGACACTGCTTTATTTCTTTGCTGTTGTTTTTGTTTCTTTTGTTTCTTTTTCTTATTATTGCTTTTGTAATTTTTTCAATTCTTCTTTTGTTTCTATTTGTGTTTGTTTTCTTGTTCCTATTTTTGTTTCTTCTTTTTGTACTGCATTATTTTTAAGGCATAGACATGACACTTAATAAACAAGACAGACTTTACATACTATCAGCAAAACAAACAAAACAGAAAAAAGAAAGAAATAAGTATTTTTAAACATGTCTCAGCTAACCCACCTCTCTAGACCTCGGCCTGGGTTTTAAACACTTTTAGGGACACTTGGTTGACTTTATTTTGAGATATTTCCCCTCCCTGTGTGCCTACTGACCCGTGTGTATTTCATATTTTATATTTTATATTTTACAGATTTTTTTATATATTATATATATTTTAACATTTGGGTTGATTTAATTTTTAAAAGCACTTTTATGTATTTATTTTTAAAGATTTTAACACTAATTTTACCTGCATGCCGATTTTAAACAAAGTCAACCTCCTTCTAGCCAGATGTTTTTTAACCCACTTACCAGGTCTTTTACCAGATGCTGTGGGACGCAGCCTCGGACACTCTACCTCAGGAGTACAGGTTTTAACCCCGCCACATACGCTCTGTGCTGCAGCCACTGCTCTCTTTTATCCCTTTATTCCATTTTTTAAAAACATTTTTAACCCAGACCAAACAGGGTTGTTATAAACTTTTGGTTTTACCACAGGAGTTTTTAAATAGGTTTTTAAACACAAAATATTGACCAACCCTAACACTAAACCTAACCAAGTCTTCACCCTACAATTAATGATTCCCCTCATGGAGACCTCCATTTTGTCCCCATAAGGGAGGCGAGTCCCCACACGTGACTGTGTAAACAGATTTAGGTCCCCACAAGTATAGTAATGCTAGGACACACACACACACACACACACACACACACACACACACACACACACACACACACACACACACACACACATGCGGGTTTTTGTGAACTAAAAGGACACTTTGACCCAAACACGTTTTTTCCATCATTAGGTGGACACCCCTTTCCACTAGCTTTACAAAGATGTTTTGAATATCAAAAAATCTATTTTGAGCCATACAACACAAATCCCACTTCAAATGTCCCATACACATAGCACAACTCAAAATACAACAACCTGACACCATGCTTCATTATGAGGACAGCAGATAATGAGCTGCATAAGCCCCGCCCATGACACAATGGTTATTTGTGAGGACAGTAGCTATATAACACACAAACATGTCACTGAAGTGTATTAAAGGGACTAACATGATTAAATGGAACATAACTTTACACAAACGTGTTGGATTGTGCATTACAAGAACAAACCTTTTATAAACGGACAAAATGTTTTGCACAACAGCATAGGAATACCTGATTTGTGATGTAATATTTTAATAGACAATATAGTGCACCATAGATATATAGCTTAAAAGTATGTTAATGTGTTTTGGTTATTGCTTGCCTCCTGTTTGCAATCTGTTGTTTTCATGCAAATGTAGAACCACATTCTAATACTCTCCAGAGGGGTATACTACAAGCAGGTCTTCCGAGACGAATTAAATCCATTTGCAAGTAAATGCTTATATTTGCAGCACTGCTAATTGCAATTACATCATCGATATGAAAAGAACCGATAACCATTTTATAGCAAAGTGACCGAACTGGTTTATCACTAATACAAAATGCTATTTGCCCTAGAAGACTGCTCATCTACTTGGAGCATTACCTTTTAAAAGCTGATACAAAAGGACATATTGCACCTTGCACAGTGAACAATGAGCCAAGTTTAATGGTTATTTTCACATAAAATTTTTTCACATGAAAATTGAGCTAAGACTAAATCTTTATTATTTTAAACATATAACTCTCCTTCCAGCATTACCTTGGTACGACAGAGGATTAGGGCCACACAAAAAAGAAAAGATAGGAGAATAAAGTCTTAATTACGAGATTAAAGTAGCTATGTTAGGAGAATATAGATGAAATTATCCCGGGGGCTGAGGGGTCATTGCAGCAGATCTTCAAGGAAGTTATATTGACAGATTGGAACTGGAACGGATCAATAACTCATAAACAAAACTTTGCTAAAACACAAACTAACTACCGTAATAAGGTAAACAACTATCCACAATCCAATTTTCATCAAAACAACCTCACACCGGCCGCCCTCCAAGCTGGACACATAACACAGGTGTCTGTCTGCAGCCGGAGGAGAGAGGAGGGGTCATGGACCGTCTACAAAGTGCAACGCTGAAGAAAATACTGCAAATAAACTACTAAAACCACCTATTTTTGCAAACTTGCATGTGTAGTTTAAGCAACAGTATATTATTGTGTGATTTAAAATGTGATGTTTGTAGCTTTATAACAGAGCAGTTATTGAGTATAGTATCTGTGTCCAGCTCAGAGGGCGGCGGGTGTGAAGTTGTTTTGATAAAATTGGATTGTGGATAGTTGTTTACCTTATTACGGTAGTTAGTTTCTGTTTTAGCAACGTTTTGTTTATGAGTTAGTGATCCGTTCCAGTTCCAATCTGTCAATATAACTATCTGCTGCAACGACCCCTCAGCCCCCGGAATGATTTCATTTTTATTCTCCTAACATAACAGCTTTAAAACATCGCTCCTACATGTAACATAATAATGACAAGTTTCACTGTGAACTGTCCTCACTGCATGTTCGATTAAATCTCATCATCTTTTTTGAAGCAGTGCTTTTTTCTTCTGAGCCGTGCCTTGGTTCCTGACGAAGTCTCTAATATTTTGCAAAGAGCGACCAGCCAGAATAGGATGCTCTGCTGCTTTGCACTGTCTGCATTCTATCATCGTGGCCAATTTCCCCTTGGCAATGTGTGCATTAAAGTGTCTCAAAACTGCTGCCACCTCTTTTGGAGACCACTTCTGTTTTTGCATCCTCCTGGGATTCCTCTCCACAGCATTTTCAAGAGACTCTACAAACAGAAAAAGAGATCAGTCAATGGTAACCACGTTAACACGTATTTTATTTAAGATGTATTATGTTACTTACTAAAACTATAACTACAAATGGGTTTGGGATGAAGGAATCGAACTGTCTTTCCGGCTTTCCTTCTTCCAATTTCTGATATTGTGCTGGTTCTGAACAATAGCATGTAGGGATCAAATGCTAATGCTTGCTCTTTGCCATATTTAAACATCTGTAAGTCTAACTGTGCAGAGCTTGCAGGAATGATTCTTCTGTATGTAGGGTTACGTTTTCTTTTTTTTACTTAAGCAGCTTAAAGTTAGTATTTGACATAATAATAGTACTAACAGGATCAAGTTTTCTGAGACTTGTATTTCGTCCTCACAATGTTTTTAAATGACTTCTTAACAGGAAAAAGACGCATGTAACAATATAGTTTCAGGAAACCATATTCTGATCATTTTTGGTCATGATAAACTCAAATCTTCCAGTTTAACAGGAAAAATTCAGTTCATGGCTTTAACGTTTAAAGCTTCACGATAACCTGAACCAGGGTTTAACCTCCATGCTTGAGAAAGAGTATTTTGTGTACATTTACCAGGTGGCTCATGCATGTCCCCTCTCCTGCCAGGCTCCTTGTCATTCTCATCTGCATTTGTGTTCAATGATAGAAAAGAAGAAGAAAACATCCATCTTAACCAAGAGATTTGTGTAAATATTCAATCTTCATTTCAGCTATTATGTTATTACATGATTACAAAAGCAGGGAGTCTACACCCGCACCTTGACAAAAAAGAAAGGTGATACTTAAAGTTGTGCACCTACTGAGCAGCTCTTACTGTGGATTAGCTTATTTTAAGTAAATGTTCCAGCTCAGCTCTTGTTCTTACAATGTTGTGTCGTTTATTGTAAGGCGCTTTGGACCAAAATTAACAAAATGTATGTAGCCTTTGCTGAGAGTGATTTTAAGATATCAAAAACATTTGAAGGAGCACCGACATTTAGATGATAGCAGCTTGATAGAAGAACAGCGGCTCTTCGTCCTCCGCAGAATGTGGAGGTTCAACATGGACTCCAGGATACTCTGCAATTTTTACAGGTGCACCATAGAGAGTATCCTGACTGGCTCTTGTTGTGAGTTATTACAATCAGGTAGAAAGACACTGATTATAGTATTTCATATCTAAAGAGTATGATCATTCAGTTTAACAGAAGAAAAACAGCATTGACACACAGTCCTCTTAGTGTCTAAAGCTGTCCAGTAGAGTTATACACAGGACCTGTGTATCTAACCTCAGCATTCACATCCAGTCTTCATGGTTTATAACTGGAAAGAAACATGTAACTAATACCAACATTGAGCTGTGGTTAACTCACCTGTTGAATGTCATCATAGTGGGACTCAGATGCCATGGCAGCATGTTCATACAGAGGGTGTTTCTCAATCGCGAGTACACTTGCTTGGTAGCACATGTCTGCCGAGCATCTTGCTTCAGAAGCGAGTCAAGAATACTTCCTGGCATTCGGAAAACGAAGTGTGGAACACGCTAGCAAGTGTGCAGGTGTGCGTCATATGAGAGGCCCCGCCTTACATCTTCCGCCACTGATTTGGGGAAATTGGTCCATGCGCAAAGCATTGTGGGGATTTTAAGACCGCGGAGTCTACTCATGTGCAGCCTCGATATTTCTCCAAACGGAGTACGCCGGGCTCGGAAGATTTCCAAGTATGCTGGAGATTGGAACAGTACTTCGGCGGCACTCGATGACGTAGTATGCTTGAAATAGTGGCTCTGAAGCAGCTTTACTCGCGATTGAGAAACACCCAGAGTCTCTGCCTCAGTGGAAATCTTGTGGATGAAGAAGGACTAAGTTTAATCACTAAACATCCAGAGTAGTACACACATTTTTCACTGGCTCTTGTTGTGAGTTATTACAATCAGGTAGAAAGACACTGATTATAGTATTTCATATCTAAAGAGTATGATCATTCAGTTTAACAGAAGAAAAACAGCATTGATACACAGTCCTCTTAGTGTCTAAAGCTGTCCAGTAGAGTTATACACAGGACCTGTGTATCTAACCTCAGCATTCACATCCAGTCTTCATGGTTTGTAACTGGAAAGAAACATGTAACTAATACCAACATTGAGCTGTGGTTAACTCACCTGTTGAATGTCATCATAGTGGGACTCAGATGTCATGGCAGCATCTTCATACAG